CCCCTGAAGGATTATACTCAGTTTTGCTGGGTAGGTGATTCTTGGTTGTAATCCTATCTCCTTTGCCCTCCTGAATATTATATTCCATGTCCTGCAGTCCCTTAATGTAGAAGCTTCTAAATCTTGTGCTATCCTGATTGTGTTTCCACAATACTTGAATTATTTCTTTCTGGCTACTTGCAATATTTTCTGGAAATTTAGCTACAATATTCCTTGGAGTTTTCCTTTGGGAATCTCTCAGGCGGACATCAGTGGATTCTTTCCATTTCTATTTTGCCCTCTGGTTCTAAAATATCAGGGCAGTTTTCCTTCATAATTTCTTGAAAGATGATGACTAGGCTCTTTTTTTGATTGTGGTTTTCAGATAATCCAATAAATTTTAAATTATCTCTCCTGGATCTATTTTCCAGATCAGTTTTTTTTCCCCAATGAGATATTTGACATTGTTTCTATTTTTGCATTCTTTTGAATGTGTTTTACAATGTCTTGATTTCTCATAAAGTCACTAGCTTCCAGTTGCTCCATTCTAATTTTTAAGGAAGTATTTTCTTCAGTAAGCTTTTGGACTTCCTTTTCCATTTGGCCAATTTTGCTTTTGAAGGCATTCTTCTCCTCACTGGCTTTTTCGACTTCTTTTGCCATTTGGGTTAGGCTTTTTTTAAGGTGTTATTTTCTTCAATATTTTTGGGGGGTCTCTTTTAGCAAGCTGTTGCCTTGTTTTTTCATGATTTTCTTGAATCATTCTCATTTCTCTTCCCAATTTTTCCTCTACTTCTCTTACTTGCTTCTCAAAATCCTTTTTGAGCTCTTCCATGGCTTGGGACAGAGTCATACTTTTCTTGGAGGCTTTGGATGTACAAGCTTTGACTTGTCATCTTGTTCTGGTTGTATGTTTTGATCTTCTTTGTTACCAAAGAAAGATTCTGTGGTCTGACTCTTTTTGTGAGGTTTGCTCATGATCCTAGGCAATTGCTTGAGTTTTAAACTCTTTGTTAAGGTAGGGGTCTGCTTCCAATGTGGAGGATGTACTGTTCCAAGCTTCAGGGGTTTATACAACTGTTTTCAGAGATACTTATCAGGGACCTGTACGTTTTCAGTTCTTCCAAGGTGGTATGATGAGGGATGAGGTGTTTACTCATTTCCTGGTATGTGCTCTGGTCTACGAGTGACCACAAGCACTCTTTTCTGTCTTGGAACTATGAGGAGGATTGACTCTTGATCACCACTACAAGCTCCACCACACCAGCACTCCTTCTTGCCCCAGGACCACCACCCAGAACTGTGACCCAGATCCAAGCACAGGCAAAGCAAGAGATTCCTGCCTCAGCACTGGCAAAGAGATCCCTGTAATCCCCCTCTAATCAGCCACTCAATTCCCCCTCAGTCTGTGGGCCAGATGCTCAGGAGGCAGCTACCACCCTGGGGCCACACTTGGGAACTGGAGCTGAGACCACCATGCTTCTCTCTCCCTGCAGAAACAGACTTTTCCCACTGACTTTTTAAGTTGTCTTTGGCGTTCCTGGGATGAGAGTCCTGGAAACTGCCATAGCTGTCTGTGATTCAGGCCTCTGAGGCCTGCTCCACGTTCACTTTGGCCTGTGCGCCAGCACTGAACTGTGTTCCTCTACCAGCCCAGCACGATATACCTTCCTGATCAACCATCCAGGTTGTCTTGGGCTGGGAATTTGTTTCACTCTGTCATTTTGTGGGTTCTGCTGCTTTAGAATTTGTTTAGATCCATTTTTTACAGGTATTTGGAGGGGTTTGGGGGAGAGCTCAAGCAAATCGTGGCTTTCACTCTGCCATCTTGGCCCCTTGAGGCAAATAATTTAAACAAAGAGTTACTACTACTGCTTTTAATGATAATGATCATAGCTAGAATTGATATAGTATTTTAAGGCTTGCAAAGGGCTGCACATATATTATCTTATTTGATCCCCACCAGAAATCTGTGAGGGAAGTAATATTATCGTTCTCTTTTTACATATGAGGAAATTGAGGCCGAGGGTGGCTAAGTCACTTGCACAGGATAACGTAGCTAGTAAGTGTCTGAGGCAGGATTTGAACTCAGATCTTCTTGACTCCAAGTCCAGCACTCCAACTGACTGTTTAATCTAACCTCCTAAGTTGGACTAGGTGATCTCTGAAGTCATTTACAACTCTAAAACTATGAACTTTGATTGGAAAAGACAAAAGAAAAATGGAAGAGAGTTCATTACCTGTTCTAACTGACCTTCATTCTATGATATGAAATGGCAAGTGTTATTGCTGAGCCATTGATCTTTAAATGACTGTGGAAAATAAGAAAGGTGCCTCATAATTAGAAAGGAGAAAGATAATTTTAAGTATTATAGGTCTTTCATAAAACAAGATGAGTTAAAGAGCCTAAATACCATGCTGTAGGGAGAAATAAAAAGAAATTGCTCATAAATCTTGAAAACAAATGACAAAGTACTGAATGATAGAATCCTCACATTACCAAAAGGGTAAAACACTAAGCTTGAAACTTGAAGGCAAACAGTGATTGAATTTCAGAATTTCAATGCAAAATTACTAAGTTTTACAATCACTCAAGAGAAAAACATTTAGCTATGGTAGAAAAAAATCAGTTATAATAACTTAGGACTACTGTCCATCAGATAGAAGATTGGAATTTAATATTTGAAGAAGCCGAGGAAAACAAGTTGCCCTCCAAAATAACATATCCTACCAAGGGGTGCCAAATTATCAACAGAAAAAAAAGGCTATCATTATATTTGAAAAAACAAAAGAGGTGATCAAAGCATTCCAAAGGGATTCTAAGCAGAGAGAGAGAGAGAGAGAGAGAGAGAGAGAGAGAGAGAGAGAGAGAAAGTAGAGGTAAATAAAAACAGAAAGTAACAATTTAAGTATACTCAAGGAAACTGGGATAGAGTAGACTAAACAGGAGAGGTGAAACTTTGGGAAAAGATTAGTATTACAAAGAATGAAAAAGGAAAAATAATGAGTTAGTAAGCTATTTAATAATACAGAGAGGAGATTATAGAATAGCCCATAAGTAGAAGGCATATTTTATTAATATTTAATGCTCCAATTTTTTTAAAAAAGTATGTAATAGGAGTTCAGTTTCATATACAATCTCCTCTAAACATATTAAAATGTTCATGTTGGTTAAATTTATAATAAAGGTGAATTTCTTTTAAAGGTTAGGATGCAGTCATTGTAAACAAAACTAATAACAGGGACAAAATCAATGAAAAAGAAATAAGTGGAAGAAAGCACAAACCTAACTACTACATGTTTAAATGTGAATGGATTAGATTTCCCAACAAAAGAAAATAGAATAGATAAGAAAACAAAACCCAACCAATAAGTTGCTGCACACAAAAATTCTTTGAAAAATAAAACTACATATAGGATAAAAATTGGATTCTAATAATTTAGTCCAACTATTCATCTTCCATATGAGGATTTATGCCAAGATCACACAGAAAATATGTGGTAGAATTTGGATCCATAGGGAAGCCAAGGATATCTATCAGTTTTCTATTTTGTGGCTGGTAGCATTACTTAACTATCACTCAATGAAAGACTTGTAGAAGGACAAGTTAAACAAGGTTTATCCTGGGATCTCCAACATTTAGCCTTTTCTTCAGTTGCCTTACCCACATGCCCCCTAGAAATAAGTAAGTCAGTAATTTTGCTCAACTGGTATCCCCAGGGAAAGATTGAAACAAAAAAGAAGCAAAACAAATCATCAGAGATAAGCTTGTGTCATAGAAGGGCTTCCAAAAGAGTGAGAAAATTTGGCTAAAGACATATCCCACAATGCACGAACATGCTTTGTAGATTTGCTTTTTGAGCTTATAAGAAATAAATCAAATGTAGAAGAATCACACTTTTAGGTAGTAGGTTGGAACACAGCTGTGTTCTTGCCTATTTCCTCACATGATCCTAGAGCACACTTGGGCTAACATCCAAAAATGACTATCCTTTGTCTTCTTTCATATCTGTGTAGAGGACACTCCCTTCAAGAGGGAGGACTCACTGTCTATGGGGATCAATGGGATATATTCTTCACTCCACCTGACCATTTTGGATACTTGAAGTCTGTGAAATCAGACTTACAAAGAAGTACTTGACCACATTTACATGCATGATGGGTTCTTATTTTGATGCTAAACTGTAAGTGCCTCAAGGGTAGGTTCCTTGCCTTATCTAAACTTTGTTCTGATAAAGTGCTCTACAACCAGTAGGAAACTATTACATGCATGTTTATTCATGCATGTGCTCATGCAAGTATACATATATGTAGTCATAATATAATGTGTATAAATGAGTTAATGTTTTTTTTCTTTTTTAACAGTCTCCCAATAGCACCACTTATATAATAATAGCTGTCGGTTGTGGAAATGATAATTATCTCTGTTTCTAGATTGTTTTTGCTTGTTTGGTTGGGGAAGAGGGAAAGTAGAGGGCTAATTGGTGCCTCATGTAGGTAAATGACCGTTATCAATAATCACTCAGCATAGAATAGCAAACTATTTTTAAAAACAGTATTAGGTATGTGATGAAATCAATTTTATTCTTGAGATAAATAAGGAAAATAATTGGGCATATTGAAATTGATACTTTTTTGCTGCTTTTTCCCCCATTGTGTCATTGAACTCAATTAATACATGAATGTTTGTTGAGTTTGAATCTCAGCTATGCTTTTAATTACCCATGTGATCTTGAGTAAGTCCATCTGAGTTTAAATTTCCTCATCTATAAAATGAGAGGGTTAAACTAGATAAACTAAACCAAGCTCCCTTCCAATTCTAAATCCAATGTTCCTAAATCCTACATCTCATGAGCCCAGAAATACATTTCTTCAGTGGTTTCATTTCAGAGCCAAGTGTGAGGTGTTGTTTTGGGGGGGATAAGGAGGGATTATTTCCTTGGTTTTGTTTTTGTTTGATTTTAATGCACAAATGTTAAGGCATTCTTCAAAAAAAATATATTTCTTTTCATTTTTCCAGACAATTGTCAGGGGAAACAAACCTTGCAAGGAAACTTCAATCAATGGTTTGCTAGAAGAATTTGACAATATTTCTGTGACTCGTTCCAATTCCCTAAGGAAAGAAAGTCCTCCCACTCCTCATCAGGGTACTTCAAATCATGTCCAGAGACATTCAGAAGAAAATGGTTTCATCACATTTTCTCAGTACTCCAGTGAATCTGATACTACCACTGACTACATGACAGAAAAATACAGAGAAAAGGGTCCATATGGAGACGAGTTGGATCGATATTATGAAGGCAGCCAAGCATCTAAGCAAAATGGACATGCAGTGAAAATGAAATCTGATGATGCCTATTATTCTGACATACAGGCTTTAAAATCAGATATGTCCAGGCTTCCTCCAGATTATCACACCCACATGGATATGCTAAGTAAACCAAGTGAATATTGTGGCTTCAAGTGGGACTATCACAGAGTTTCAACTGGATCCCCTCTGGATTACCGAGATCCCTTTCAATTAACTCCCTCTAGGACTGCAGGGACAAGTGAATGCTCAAAAGAAAGCCTGGTGTACAGTGAAAGTGAATGGAGGCCCAGCATGGATGATTATGATAGGAGACCAAAGTCTTCATATATAAATCAGACCAGCCCTCAGCCAGCCATGCGGCAGAGATCAAGATCAGGTTCTGGACTTCAGGAACCTGCCATGCCATATGGAGCAAGTGCATTTAAGTCAAACCCACAAGGGCACTCATACAGCTCTTATACCTACCCTCGCCTCTCAGAAACCACCACGTGCATTCCAAAGGTAGGTTGGCAGCCATCAGTCTCATTTCTCTCCTTCCCCAGTCTTCTGCACACAGTTTGTGCTGAAAATGTTTGTCAAGTTGAATGTTGGTTAATTTTGTTTCCTAAATAACTGTAAGAAAAACAATAATAATAAAACAATGACAGAGTGGTAGCTTCACCATAGGAATTAGCCTTTTAAATAAGAAATGTTATTGAAGTTTGACTTTCTCATACAATTGCAATGGTCTAACAGCCAACATAAGCAACACATCACCTCTAGTCCTATGTTTTTTTCACTACACTTTCGCATTACATAAGGGATTCTACTGCTTTTCAATTATGACAGGTATCCAAAAGCCCAAGACTGCACCTTTTAAAGGGAGAGAGGTTGAGAGGGACAGTGATAGGATTTTTCTTTGTTGTATCTGGAGGAGACATTCCTGTATATTCCTTTTTCTCTGTAAATAAAGCGAAGAACTGAGCAATCCTGGCCTTCTTAAATACAGAGATCTTGCCCATAACATGTTGCACCATCACAGGCCAGCAGAAGGCTGAACCTATAGAAGCAATCTTCAAGTTGTATTTTCAGCTCCGTGTAGCCTTAAAATTACAAAATCCTCTCATTTAAAATAAATGCTGCATTTCTGATTTGAGTCTAGGAGCCAAGAGCTAAGGGTCTTTTTTTGAGAGTTCTGTGGGAGGGAAAGAGAAAGGACGGCATGTCTGCTGCTAAAATGTTTATTCAATTTAAAAAAATAGATATTCAAAAAGACACAAAATGATGCATATGTCTTTAGAACTCTGTTTAGTTCCAAAAAAATAATAACCCTATCAATAAGACAGAATTTCCTACTGTAAGAATAGAGGTCACAAATGTTTGGCTCTGCTTCACTGCAAATGTTAAGAAGTGTGGGTGGTTTTCCTGCCTGTAATGAGATGAATAACAAATTAATTTTGACTTTTCAAGTCTCTAGAAACTCAAATGAGCAAAAGTGCCATCATATTTTTAAAAATCAGTTTGCATTTTTAAAAGTCTCATTTCATGTTAGTTATGTGATACAACTAGTCTGGTTGTGTGTCCACAACAATACCTAAGAAGCAACTCTCTTACTGTGCTAGGATATTTGGTATTCCAGTGGATAAAAAGAAGTGTTCCATCCCTCCCTTCCCACCATGCAACAATACTTGCCCCAGAATAATGTTTAACCATATATTCTACCAAGGTATTTGAACATGGCCAACTCATCTACACAGCTTACTCTCAACATGTGCAATTCAGAATTCAGTATCCTTCGTATAAAACTTTCATTTTTTCCTAACTTAATTGTTTCTTCTTCTAGTCATCTCAGTTTACAACTTTGGTGTCATCATCCATTCATTCCATTCCCTTACCCTTTGTGTACAATTAGTTGCCAACTCTCATTAATTCTTGTTCCACATCTAACCCATATCTGTGCATTTCTCTCAGCTCACAAAGCCATTGCCCTCATCTCACATGGACTCTGGCAGTAGACTCCTAATTTGTCTCTGTGCCTCTGGCCTCCTCTCTAATTTATCCTCTGCCTAAATTCCAAATTGATATTCCTAAAATAAAGCCCTTGCCCCTGTCACTTTCCTAACCAAGAAACACAAATGGATATACAAGTGGATTATGCTTGAAACTAGGCTCAAGAACTTTGCCATTTAAAGCCCCTTTTGCAATCTGGCTTCAACTTCCCTTTCCAAGTTCATTCATTGCATTCTTCTCCTCCTTGCACTGTATATTCCACCAAAATGGGTCCACTTGCTACTTCCTGTACAGAACCTTTCCTCTTCTACTGTCCATGCCTTTGTACAAGCTGTTCCTCATTCCTAGAATACACTCCTTCCTCAACCTTCATCTCTCAGATTCCATAATTTCTTCAAAGCTCAACTTAAGTATTGTACCTTATAGGAAACTAGTATTAAATCTCTTAGTTTTTGGTATCCTTCATAGTGATTATTCTATTATTATTTATTATATGTTATACTATTTATGTTATTTATTTTATATATATTTGGTATTTAATTTTCTTTGTACATGTAGGATCATATTATAGATATGATAGAATACTAGCTCTTCAAGAGCAGGGACTATTTTATTTTTGTGTTTGTGTCCCAGTGACTAGTACAGAATCTGGCACGTAGTAGGTGCTTATAAATGTTTGTTGAATTTAATGGAAGACTAAGTAGAATTACAACTAACATCAAACTTTGTTGAAAATTCACTTTTCCAAAGGGGGGTTCCTAATGATCGGATGTGGCCACATGACTATTACTATGGATGGTCAGATTCCATAACTGAGTACTAGGCAGCACCTTTCATTCGTTAATTTCATTCATTCATAGTTTTCTCAAAGTCCTCTGAAAGCCCAGTTTAACATTCTCTATGCCTGTAATATGGAAGGGCTAAAGTAATACATTTCTGCCCACATCCTAACAGAACCATAGCAAGAAATTCTTATGCTTGAAGAAAACTCAACTGATGAGTGGAGAAGGGAACACGGGAGACTCCACTGGTGATGACACACTTGGAAAAAAGGCAAGCTATCCATAAAAGAGTCCTTCTTGAGCCACCATAGAATGAACAATGGTTCCCCAAACCTACCAATATGAGGCACAGAGACATGGCAGTGAGGCAAAGCAGACCAGAGTAAAGAGTCACCATGGCGATGGGACACTAGTGATTTTGAGTTTAGTGATGGAGTGAGGAAGTTCCACCCACATATATTGGGCACTTCAAGGACAGTGGGCCAAATATTCTATCTCCATCAATCAGTCAATAAGCATTGATTTAATCCTTATTATATGCTAGTCACTGTGTTCTGCCCATATAGGCAGCAAAGCACCTTGTTGTGCCCCCCTAGCTATTCCTCAGAGCTTGGCTTTTCCTCCTGTCATATAATGAGGTCTTCTGGGTGTTTCCATTGTTAAAACTTATCAGAATGAAGGGGCAGCAAGGTGGCACAATTGATAGAGCACTTGGCCTGGAGTCAGGAAGACTCATCTTCCTGAGCTCAGATCTGACCTCGGACACTTACTAGCTGTGTGAGCCTGGAGAAGTCCCTTAATCCTGTTTGCCTCAGTTTCTTCACCTATGAAATGACCTGAAGAAGGAATTGGCAAACCACTTCAGTATCTGTGTCAAGAAAATTCCAAAGGGGGTCATAAAGAGTCAGACATGACTGAAATGACACCACAACAATCAAAATGGATCTGCCCTCATTCTACTTTATTTTGTTCTACTGTAAATAGTTCAATATTGACGTTCTGTTTCTTCAACGTGAATAAACTGAGACAGACAGAGTTTAAGTGACTTTCCCGGGGTTCCACAGATAGTAAGTGTCTGAGACTGGATTTGATCTTAGGTCTCTCAGCTCCAGACTAAGCACTCTATCCATTGTCTTTCCTTCCTTCCTTCCTTCCCTCCTTCCTTCCTTCCCTCCCTCCTTCCTTCCTTCCTTCCTTCCTTCCTTCCTTCCTTCTTTCCTTCCTTCCTTCCTTCCTTCCTTCCTTCCTTCCTTCCTTCCTTCCTTCCTTCCTTCCTTCCTTCCTTCCTTCCTTCCTTCCTTCTTCCCCTTATGATGGAAATTGCAAGCCTTTGGTCTGGAAAGCCAGTTTCCTCAATTGTGGACACATCTATTTGGTGTCATCAACTCTAGCTCAACAACTACTAGCTATCCAGATCTGGCCTCTTCAGATTTGAATATCCAATTACCTCAAAGACACGGCTTTGCCCAGCACCTCAGATTCAAAATAGTCAAGAATGAATTTATTACCTTTTCTCCTTAAACCTACTTTTCCTTCTGTGTTCAATATTTCTGTCAGTAGTACTATAGTACTATTCATAAGGTATCCCATGTTCAAAGGCTTATAAATCACTGTTGGTTTTTCCTTTTCTTTTATCACCGAGGTGTTAACTCTCGTCAGTTCTATCTAAACAAATCTGTTCCCAACACCTTAGTACTGACCTTCATTACCACCTAACTAGAACTACTGAAATAGCCTCTTATCAAGATTTTATTTGGTGCCTCTATTCTCATCCCCCTTTTCATCCTTCATATCTTCATATCACTGCCAGACTAATTTTCTTATGTATAGTTTTGGTCATGGTCTTCAGTTGTGTCTGACTCTTTGTGACTCCATTTGGGGTTTTCTTGACAAAGATACTGGAGTGGATTGCCATTTCCTTCTCCAGCTCATTTTATAGATGAGAAAATGGACTTAATGACAATCTTTATATAGATGTCACCCAAGCACCAGCCAAAAAGAATTCTATGTTGCTCATCATCTTGTTGGCAGAATGTGAAATGTTAGGTCACAGCAACATTCAGTTATAAAGGAGTTACCATCTGTGTTCATGGAGGTAATACCCACAATGATCAAATCATAGACTCTGAAATATTGAAGTTCTGAAGCTAGGATCACAGCATAGATCTGAATGTGTGGGCAGTGACCTTTCCCAGAAAGGAAACCTATTTTATAGCTGGAATAAGCAGTTTTTTTGTAGACAAAAGAAGCCATATCAATTAATGTAATTCTCTTACTGGATCTATGATGGTTCATATGAAAAATTATCGCTATTTCCTCAAGCCTGTTTGATTCTTGCTCATGTCTTCTTATAAATGCACCATAGAAATGGCCTTCTCCTAGTTCATTTAATATTTTGTGTTTACCTACAATGCTTAAGCTGACTATCTAACTGCCTTCACTTTTACTCTGTGGTTGTAATACCTCTTTTTTCTCTCATAAAATTCCTTGATAATCCTTTTCATTCAGGTATCATTGGTATACTTATGCCCTCTATCCGTATGTCTCTATTGCCCTTTGTTTCAGCAATAATTTGGATTCTTTTGAGACTATTGTATTTCTTTCACTACTGTATGACATCACCAGGAGAATGTTGTCATTGAAAGAATGAACTTTTGTGTGGGAGCAGCTTAGAATCATAAAAAGCACTTCACCATTTCCTAAATGCAATCAAATTATTATTTTCCTATT